TATATAAAAAAATAGTTGTAAACACAAATTCCTCAGGAGCATAAGATTAAAAAGTGTAAGCTTCTTCGGAAAGTGTATTATAGTGTATCCTTGTTACATAAGAGAACAAAAGGCTGCAGACAGATTCAAGGTCCCCGTGTTCCATTAATTCCATATTTGGTCCTGCCATCAGAGACAGCACAGTCACCAGAGCTCTCAAAGCATTGTTTTAGTTAAACGAAAGTCTGTGCCAAACCCACACTGTGGTATTTTATTGCTGTGCGTGTCAAAAAAAGACTGTGTACACTGATGTGCAGGAAATATGATTAACTCACAAGTCATTTATATCTTAAATGTACATAGCTGGGACAGTTAACCTGAGCTCATCTCTACAGTTATTCCATAGAGCACTGCACACGGTAAAAATGATGGGTAAACTCTAGTAGACCCACAGCAACCAATCAGAATTCACTTCCATGATGGATCAGTTTTGAATAGATGCGATGTGCAATGCTCTATATGCATTATACGTCCAGTACAGTCTTATTTGAGTAAGGCACATCATAAGTCTTTCTTGGCTTTCTACGCATGATCCTTCAGGCTTCACCTCCATTATCTTTTGGCACAGGATGAACGGGTCTTTGGAGAAGAGGATGCTGAGGCAGGAGATCTTAGTATACACAGGGTTACCTTTACATAATGGAGAAGGGATTGTGTGTGATGTTTAAGCTGGCCATACACTGGTCTATTTTTTTGTTAACCTGTGGGCTGAACAAAGAAAATAGAACAGATTCCTCCGTCAATGCTTACAAGTGCAGTTCCCTTTGTATTCCGACAGCAGCCACCAGCCATGTCAGAATACACGAACGCCGCAAGCACCGTTCATTCTAAGGTTTTCTCACCGCCTTCTTCAATCAGCTGATTGAGGAATGCCAATCGAGGGATCTTCATAAAGAACCAGCCAAAATTTGCAATGTGTATGGCCAGCTTAGTGTTAGGGTTTTTTAGTGTTAACGATTATTATGAAGGGGTCCTTAAAATTACCCTGTACGGATAAAAATTGCCCATA